TATATATAGCTGATTATTTTCAAAGTTGCATATTTAATTTCTAACAACCAAAAAATATACACAAAATCTCTAAAATGTGTTGTGGCTACTGTTTATTAATTTTCCATATGCTTAAATCCACATCAACACATTGTTCAGCTTTCATTCAAACATTAAATAACATGATACATATATTTATATTTTTTTAAATTCCTAATTTTAATATGGTTTTATATAAAATAAATGTTGGAAATAGAGTTATTCAAAGCTTACATGATTTTAAGTTTTGTTATCACTTTCTGAGGATTTTTTTTTCAAAATAGCCAAATAAACTAAACATGATACAGTCAAAGGTACTACAGGTGCAATCAAAGTAAAGATTGCTATTGAAAACTAGAACTTGCTGAGTTTGGAATATAGTATATGCTGTATTTTGTTAAGCCATAGTCAAATCTGTAATGTATATACAATATGGAAATACATTTTGAGTGACTTTGGTTATAGAAAAGGTATGCAAATACTTGACTCTGTATAAAATAAATGACTTATATTTCATTGTTTTTTTAAATGAATATTAATATATTAGCATTTTATTTCGAATTTGGCTCCATTGGTGTTTGAAATTTTAGATTTATGGGTCTGGAACATTGAAAAGGTTTGGAAATGTGACCCAAAGGGTACAATAACTGAATGTGTTTCCCAATACTTTAGTCAAACCTATGAAACAAAAATTATACCCTCATTCTTCCATTTCCTTTTGTTGTTGTCAAATTCATGTTTGTATGTTTTTACTAAATTATGAATTGTCTCTCTGAAGTTAGCTGGAAATATGTGTAACCACATGCAGAAATATACAATAAGATGTTTTAAGAAAGCTTAAAAACTTGATCTACCTGCAAAATTGGCTCTCATTAATTGGCACCCTGAATTCTGGTTATTCGGGTCAAAGGTTATATTTACTTTTCTTTACCAAAAATATAAACATTGCGTTATTTATTTCTTTCTACCTCTTCCTCGATCCATATTCATTCCCCTCATCCCATTTCCCGGTGTCATCCCTCGTCCTCTGCCAGACGGCATTCCTCTTGTTGGTCGGAAACCACGGGGTGCATTTCCCATTTGGCCTTGAGATGGGTCATGTATCTGTTGTCCTCCGTTACTTGTTTGACGGTTTAACAAACTTGATTGAAGGTGGGCTATTACGGTCACAAGAAAATGAAAAATTTTAGAACAGATTCAGGAACAGTTGGGCTAAACAGGCTCTAAGACTTGAAATTTAGGTACAGTGTCTTGTAAGATCGAGATATGCTCAAACAGGCTAAACAAAGACATGTTAGGTGCTTTATGATTGTAAGTAAGTTTGTGATTTCAGGTAGTGGCTCATCAATTACACTTCGTGATCATAGATTGTGATCAACAATGATCATAATTTGTGTTAGTACTTTTAGATCATACTTTTAACACTCAGCCCGCCAAACACAGAGATCTCCGTGTTTGGTAAAGCAACGCTTGACCGCCAAACATGTTTCCGGTTTTTTTACGGAATCCGATAGGCGGAGTAATTACCAACATGTACTAACAATTTGAACACTATATTCAATCTGGACCAAAGTATTTCACTATTTGTTTGTTTACATTAGCGTAGATCGGTAATGCTTTACTTTCACGAAATCGTGATTATATCAGCTTTGTTGTGCGAAATTGCGTAAATCTCCAAAAGTGAGTCATTTTCATGTTACTGTTACGGGTCACAGATTGTGATTAGAAATAAAGTGTTTGGTACCATTGTAATGCTAAAATGTTCGTAGTTCTTGTAGTATTCACTACATGTCAATCTGATCACATACACACTCTCAACGAGCTTCGGAAAAGTGTTAAAATTTGCTAAAAAGTTTGGCAGTGGCTGATACTATTTTTTCAAACACGTGGCTGTCAGAGTGTTAATATTGATGAATATCAACCTAGCTGGAAGAGTTACCCTATTAGTTCTATAAAGGTTGATGAAATAAATAAACTGATAGAATGTGATTAAAATTTTAAAGGTGAAAAAAGGAAGAAAAAAAAAGAAGTTATTGACCGTCTGAAATGCTTCAGAGGTTATTTTCCAGGCCTCAAAAAAAAAAAAAGAAGTTATTGACCGTCTGAAACGCTTCAGAGGTTATTTTCCAGGCCTCTAAAAAACAAAAATTTCATGGCCTCGCTTTCGGACAACTGGATCGCCCCTGAGCACATTTTCTGAGCTGGGCATTTTGCGATATCATACTGTACTTACCTTGTGGTCCTTGATAGTGTGGATGAAGGCCACAGACCGTGTGTGGGGGTGGCATATTTTTTCAGCAGCCTGTTCATTTTGTGATGATCATACTGTACTTACCTCGTGGTCCTTGATAGTGTGGATGAGGGCCAGACTGTGTGTGGGGTGGCACGTTTTGTGAGGTGCTGACAGGATGATTTTGATTAGATTGCTGATTACTAGTTGGGGAGTTGCTTCGTTGATCTTGGAGGTTCTGCAACAATAAGTATACAAATATTTCAGCTTATAAATTTGAAAATTAAACATAAATATTTAAAGATTTTACTTTGTAGTTTTAAGCCAAACATCAAAGCAATGAAAAAACAACAGAACTTAAGAGAAAGAATAATGCTGCTATATTCTTTGACAAAATTGACAAATTAATTGTTTTATAGTAAATTCAGCCGAAAACCTCATTGTTTTGGTCTCTGGAATAAGCAGAGAATGATTTATTTACTAATTGAGATGAAATGACATGAACACATAAAGCTGATATAATATTAGGGCACATCGAAAAAATTATTAGATTATCACTGTTTTAAAAAAAAAAAAGTAGAGGGAGGGCTTTTTTCCCCCTTTTTAATCAGAACATTAGAATATTGCTTTTTATTTTTAATGAGGGAGGGACTGTTTTTATTTGGCAAAAATATTGTAAATATTTTTATTTTATAGAAACTGGTTTAAGTTTATTATTTTTTAAAGAAAATGTATTTCCAGTCACAAAATTGCATTGTTTTTTTAAGCTGTTGAAATAAATTATGCTGCTAAAAATTTTTTTTCTTTATTCCTGCATCAATATTTCCCAAATTTTGACGCGGAACGGAGTGATAATTTAAAGCTGAGCACTGACTGCGTCCGGCGGTCGTTGGCCGTGATTCTACGCAGAACGCAACGACACGATGTGCGTGCATCTGATTGTTTTTAATGACAACCTGTTGAGACTGTCACCGACAATCAGCAGACAGCGTCACGTCGTCTAGTGCGCTCATAAGAAGCGGAGTTGGGCTCGTCGTACGCTGCAGTGAGTGCCCAGCATGACAATTTTTACTATAAATGTGCCCTTAAGAATGATTCAACAACTCTCTTGGATGAACTCACCACTTTTTGTTGGGCTAAAAATTCAGCATTTGGTTCACTCATATTTGGAAGTTCAGAAAATGTCATACAAAACCTTTAAAAAATAAAGGTATATATTATGAAAATAAATTTGAATAAAAAACAGGATTGGAGAGGCCTGTAGACAGAAGGTTGTGGGGACTTCGGAGCAAAAAAAAAACAAAAAAAACAAGACAAGCAGCACCGAGGGGTTGGGAGTGGATCCACTCTCAAAGATATGAGCATTTTCAAGGTAAGATTAGTGAAGTGCTAACAAGGGATAAAAATACCCATGTTAATAATGTCTAGGCCAACACATTGGAGGCAATATAGGTTTTTATTTTTTTAAATGTTATTCATTCAGGCACATGTAATAGGTGACACCATCTTCCACAAGACAAACATAAACACACAATGTTCTCAGTTTGAGGCATGGAATGTGCAGTAGTTTTGATTGCAAAAAAAGAATTGGATACTTACTCTCCTAACTTCTGTATTTTTCCAGACGTTCCAGTGTAGACTGTTAAACAGCCCCTAAATAATGATGCATAGCTAAGAAAAAAGTACAAATGTAGTTTACTTTAATATTAAATGGTAAAACTGCAGTTGACACTTTTGATAAAATATTTAGTCCCTCAAGAAAAAGAATATAACAATGTAAATTCAATATTCACTACACAACATGGAATATCATGAATTTAAATTATTCAAAATAAAATCAATAAAAAAAGTTGAATGGTTTATATTATATGTTTAACTACAAAATATGAAAATTTGGCAACCCTTCTATTTGGATTCTATAAAAAAGTTTTGACAAACATATTGTAGTAACCGCTGCGATATAAAAGCGGCAGTTCAGTAATAACTCAGCTTTGTGGTACAACTGCATATTAAATTGTTTTGATTTATCCACAGGTGTTATTTATATTACCCTTTTGTTAGTCGAATTATATCCCCACTCTGTATAGCTTCACCAAGTTCATCCCATATACTTAAGTTAATTGCTCCAGTTCTGTCTGCAACTTTAATTGATCTTACATCATGACCATCCTTGGTTTTAGTTGGATTTCCTGAAAGACCAGAAAAACAAAACTCATCACATCCATGTTAATTTAAAAACTTGTTTTGTGATTCACTGAGAGCCGTCACTGGCAAATTCTGTAAACAGCATTCTAGCCCTCTAACAAATTTATTACAGCCATTTGAACACAACCCACAATAGTTTGTATAAAATATTATGTATGTGAAGAGAAATAAATAAAAGAACCACTTAAAAAAGAAAAAAAAATATTTACATTGGGATTTATTTGGCCAAAAATCAACTACTTTCGAATCAATCTGCACACTTTTCAGATGCACAGGCTATATACAACACATAACAAGTTTTATTCAAGAGAAAATAATTAAACTTAATGTCAGTGCCATTTAGTAGGTAGTTAGGAGGGTTTTCCTGAAATTGTCAACAATCTTGATGCCAACAAGTAGCATACTACTTCATTCCAGCCACTTTAATGTTATAAAGTTAAGCTAACAAATATTGAATTAATAGTAGTACAACCTTGGAAACAAAACAATAATAGGCCAACCTACCAATATCCAAAACTATGAATATCAGATTGATATTTTTGAAACCAGGTCTCAAATCTTTCACAAATGTGATTTTTGCATCATTTGCCATTTTGTTATATACTTTAATGTTTCTAGGTGTAGGACATATAGGCAAGGACTTCTGTCTGTATCTCTGTCTTTTGTATAGGCTAGGCTTGTTGTTGAATGGCAATCCTGGGCTCAAGCTCAAGTAGTCAGACCAAGGCCTACTGACACTGTAGAGAGGCTAATCGCCTTATTATCTTGTGACGGGCTACAATGAGCCAGCCAGGCTAGACCTGTCACCTAGACTAGGCCTAGTCAAGGTAGTAAACCAGGGGCCTAGGCTTTCCAGCAACACAGAAGTACAGTAACTTGTTTTTAAGCAATATTTATTAATCACAAAGTGTACAATATCAAACATTAAAAAACAAGTTCACGCGCTTCCACAACACAACAGTTAAAAATACTGTACTTTGACAAAACATACGCGAATATCGCACACCGCACACACACTTTACACCGCACATTTTAATAATAACCAATAGTCCGCCACCAGCCGTCCGTCTGAGGTAAACACGCTTGTGATGTATACGATGATGGCGCTCATTATGGTCATCAACTTAAATCATCAATCAAGATCATCATCGATCATCAAAGATCATCATCGATCATCATTAACTTTATATACCAGTGCCAGTAATTGTCCTCATGTTGGCTGACTTCCCTCAACCTTGGAGTTATATAATAAAAGATAGAATGCAATTATTCCTATACATACGATGAATGATGATGGGTAGTCTGTTTAGTTTTATTTTTTTGTAATCACTTTTATTAATATTACAGTGGCACACACCGAAATCATCAGAAAATTGAAAAGAAGAAAGCAACTTAACTACGAAAATCATTACGGGGAGCGCGCTTACGGGGAAAGGTTCGGTAAATAAAGCCAAATGACAACGTTTCATCAAACAAATTCATTAAAATTAAAGATATTATAATAAAGTTAAAAATAATAAAACAAAAATAAGCATTAACCTAAAATACCGGTGGTACTTAGGCATTAATGTTCTTATAGATATTTGATCTTAAATTCCAGGCTTGTTGTGAATGTATTTTTTACAATAGTTATCAAATATGATTGAAAGATTTTCATCTATATTAGACAGATCATCTAAAAATATATGATGTATAAAATCATAGTAAATATAGCGCCACCAATGTCTCAGGAAGAAGACATTTCTGGTTTTGTCGCAGGGACCGAAAATGGATACGATGTAGAAAAAACGAATAAAAAGAAGAGAATATGAAATCAAATTATTTTTGGAGAACTTTCAAGTATAAGGAGATATTAATTAAAATAACGTATGAAGATTTTTTTAAAAGTTTGTATATGTATTTTTATTGAAAATCGTATCGAGAACTTTTATTTTTCACATGTACTATTTAGAACACATCCACTAGAAGTTCATTCTCTTTCGCCACACTCATGAAACATCTTGTGGGAGCACATTATCAGCTAGAATAAAGTGTTTAAAATGCCGCCTAAGAAAGGGCAGCAGCCCAACAAGAAAACTGAACAGAAGAAGAAAGACAAAATTATTGAGGTAACGTATTTACAATTGTTATCTCAACATATTTTGTTTTAATTGATTTATCAAACTTTGGCTGGCGTAGGCCTAGCCTGTAGGCCTACCGAATGGCCTAGCTAGTTCATGGGAACCGTACCAAGGCCAAGATAATAAACCTTTTTTGAATGAAGACCACATTGATGATTGAAAATTTAAAAAAAAAAAAAAAACATATTTTATTATTAATTAGACAATATACTCTTCAATTAAAGCCTTAGGTTTTTATAAACTTTTTTTAGAAATAATATCAAAAGAAATTCCATAAAATAAGTAAAGTAGTGTCAGTGAACACACTTTTGATTTTCCTCAATTAATATGATTTAAATATAACTAACTAGGGCTTATGTCATATGAGAATTTAAATCATGTTTTGACTTCCATGAGGCTTGTAAACTTAATTATGATTATGAAGATAAAACACTCTCTGTCCTATGTATTTTTCCCTTCCATTCCAATCTCGTGTATGTAATGATGCATGCATGTAAGTGGTGAAATGTAAACATAGGGCCTATATCATACTCTACAATACATTTCGTTCTTCTGAGCAAATTGCAGTGTGTCAGAACTGTCTAGTGTCTGCTTATGCCTATTTTTTTGCAAATCCACAAATACAATACAGCCTTGTTTTATTTTTTTGCATATTATTTTAATTTATCTTTGTTACTTTTTAGCTTCTGTGAGCCTCAGTGGGGATTTTAGTCTGCTAGGTGTAATACATTTTAAATCTTTTTTTTTCCCTTTTTAGGATAAAACATTTGGTTTAAAAAACAAGAAAGGATCAAAGAACCAGAAGTATATTCAGACTGTAACAAAACAAGTTCAATATGGAAACCAAAAAGCCTCAAGGGTATGTGTAAATAACCAGTGGTGTAACAAAGATGCCTGGGCCCCTGGCTAATGCTTGTTTGACCCTACTACCCTCGGGGGTTGGGTCTGGCAGCAGAGCTTAGTTGAGTACAGAATGAAGCCCGCCCGCTTCAGCACTTTTAACGTTTAGGCAATATTTTCATTTTTTTCAGACTCTCTCTAAAATTCTGATGATATCCCAGGCCTTTTAGGGTCTGAAGCTCTGGATTTATCAAGTGACAGTGCTGGCTCCGCCCCTGCACAGTGAGCCAATGGATAGTTCACGCTGTATAAAGATAGTTATCAATTGCTATGTACGAGATTTGTCAGGCCTAATTATAGTTCAACCTCAGATTTGAAACCACCTGTGGGACTTTCATCTATTTTAATGATGAAATATATTAGTGCCCACAAAATGTCTTTAAGTTATATAAAACTGATTATTCATTAATTCAGTACCTCTGTTTCTAACTGTGTCTGCTAATTACTTAGGTGGATGAATTACAACAGAACAAAAACAAGAAGGAAGAAAAGAAGAAAGAACAGGAAGAATTAAACAAGTTGTTTAAGCCTGTAACTGCAGCACAAAAAGTTGCCAAAGGTTAGTTCTGCATGTATGATTTATATAGGGTATTGTGTGTCAGTACTAAAATGTGTTGGTTCTTTTGTTTTATATTTCTACATAGATAAAATCTGGGGAAACAAAAAATCATTCATAGCACAAGTTATTAATTTCAAATGAGACGCTGAAACGGTATTTTAAATACAAAGACCTCTCAATCAATTAAGGGTGTATGCAAAGGATATAATCATACATCATTTCTTATTAATTGACAAGGAATTATTTTTAATGATTAAAAATAACTGAATATAATTTTAGTTCATGACAGACCAGTGTTTAAGCTGTCATCAACCTAATAGCCAAATCCTAAGAAAAGCTGGATATTTTCATTTAAAATTTCCCAAAACATAACGGAATTGAAGCATAATCTTCTGTTTTGGTTTATCAAATTTGTATTTGGCTAATTATTTTCATATCGAATTGGCCAAATTGCTAAATATTTTTTTTGTTTTTTTGGCCAGCATAAACCCTGACATACAGTAATTATTTAATGGGGGCAATCAAAAAATGTTGGCAACACAAAGCAGAAAATTTTAATTGACACTATTATATATTTGACATGTTATTGACAGGTGTTGATCCAAAGTCTGTCTTGTGTGCATTCTTCAAGCAAGGGCAGTGTAAGAAAGGTGATAAGTGCAAGTTTTCCCATGATATAACAATACAAAGAAAAGCAGAGAAGAGAAGTATGTACGAGGATGAAAGGGATGAGAAAGAAAAAGGTATGTTGATTAATCAATTTTTTTTTTTTTTTTATTTCAAACAGTTTTTGTGTCTAGGCCGCCTCGGGGGCAAAGACATTATGTTGTCATCTGGCAGTTAAAGATGGCTGAAAGGGTAAATCCGGTGGAGGTGCATGATGGGTCATGTGTCATCTTTAAGTGCCTTATTACTGTAAAAAAGTCATAAAAAATAATACACCACACATTGCCTGATAACCAAATCTCATGTGAATACTTTATTATTTACAAATATAATACAGTAAAGCAATATAGGGCATAGACACACGCTCCTGTTGGGAGCCTATTTTTTAAACAAAAAGACCTCATCATCACCAATTCAGTGTGTGGCCAATCATACATTGCCGTGAATCAAGTAGAGGAAAGTTAATTATATTAATGAATAATAATGTAATTTTTTAACATTCACAGATACTATGGACAATTGGGATGATGAAAAATTAAAGGATGTTGTCAATCAAAAGCATGGTGAAGCAGAGACTAAAACACCTAAAACAGATAAAGTAAGTCATTACCAGATTATTACAATCAATCAATTAACATTCAATGTTCAGTAATGTTGCATTGACTCAGAGGTTTATTGTGGCTACTGAAAATAGTTACTATATGTCATTCAAATGGTTTACAGAGGTAAGTAACTGTGAATCTCTGTACCAGTTGACACCTTTGATTACGAGCCGAATACCAATCAACACTCATAATTAAACTGGCGAACATTTCCGATAAAATACGGGAGGTTACGAATAATAGCGAATTGCATCGCTAACAAAACTACATGACACTCAGCGGATCCTTTTAGTTTTATGTTAGCTACCTGCCTCCACGTTTTTTTTTAAATGTGCGATGCCAAACCCTAGTAAGTAAGTTGTAGGTAGACTATGTTTGATTTTACTAAATTTGACAATTTTAGGACTAGGTGAGCTACTAATCATTTTTTTCTGCTTCAAATTACACTGAATTCCATAACTATCGAAAACCAAAGTCCAGTGAAGCTAAAAAATTTTGGTACCAAAGCCAAGTATTCTTATAAACTCAAAAGTTAAAATAGTTGGAAGAGATACCATTCCATATTTAGGAATTTATCGACCCAAAACATTTCTTTGCTTTCAAGTGTAAGCAACACTCAACTCGTAACCATAAAAGCAAAGGTTATACAGCTTTCAGGAACCAAAAAGTTCAACACAAGAAATGGGCTAAAAACATTGCAGAATGTATGCTGATTGATCCATCATGTTCAGTACAGACAACTATTTGGGAAAATTTTATTCACAAAATTAAACACCCAGACTGCAGGCAAAAAAAGTTTAAAATGTTCAATAAGATGTCAATTTGCAAGTGATAAAAATTTCTTAAAAATACGTTTTCTGTAGTAAACCGTTTTATAATTAAAATAAAAGCCTATATTGCTATCTTGTTACAAAATCGTGGATTCAGATTATATAGTTTTAAATTACTGTGAATGCTTGGAAAAGCACTGCTTTTGAATAAGTGCCATGGCTCTTAATCAAGAGTATATTATTATTACCTTGTGTGTAATTAAAGAATTTGGGATTTAAATACAATTTATACAGTGCTAAGATGAATAAATAACACAATGAAGACACAAGTATTTCTTTATAAGTGTTTATTTACTATGACATTGGACCTATGATAGGCCTACTGTACTACGGAAATGTGAGATATGTAACATAGGAACGGGCATGAAAAGCGCCACACCAATATTTCTTTTTATGAGCACCGCTCTTGAATAAGCACTGCACTGAAGCCTCCAAATATGTTTAAAGCGCCACGGTGCTTATTCAACCATTTACAGAATAAAGACATTTTTTTTATTGCTAAATAAGAAGTGTTAAAAAATAGTATTTGTATATTTTATTATTTAGTTGACTTTTATTATTTAGTTGAAAACTATATACATGACTTTCCTCATATTCACTGGTACAAATGTTAATATTTTTGATAATTAAAATGGATTTATTTAAAAACAAATGAAAATGTTTCTTTCACCACCCAGAAACAAACCTGCTTCTCCTTATTCGGTTCAATTTAAAACAACACTAATAAATGGAATACATTAAAACATACCATACAAACAGAAAAAAAAAGAAACAAAACCAAAAAAAATACAATTCAGTAGCCACATGTACATTTTAGGTTCCTATTTTTATTGTTGTTCTAATCAGCACCTAATAAGCTGAAGTTACTTGACAAGAAATGCTCTATGAGATATTTGACAGATTAAAGTACTTTTGTAGAGCACTATTTTGTAAAGATATTGTTTCAGACTAATATTATAATTATGTATCTTTTCATACATAACTGACAAAGAAAATTGACCAATGTGATCTGTATTCCGAAGTGTCAATCCAATTTAACAACTGACCAATCAGAACAGTTCCAGGAATATATGCTTCTACCGCAAACATGTGTTTACAAAGTCCTGGTGAATGCTTAGCAATAATATCTAAGGGGTGGAGCTTAGCGGAATAGTCCATTAATGACTTTTATTTTTTACTTTTAGGTTTGCAAGTTCTTCCTTCAAGCTATTGAGGATTGCAAGTATGGATGGTTTTGGATCTGTCCAAATGGTGGTGACAAGTGTATGTATAAACACGCACTTCCACAAGGATTTGTGCTCAAGAAAAATAAAAAGACAGAAGATGATGATGATGAGGAGAAGATATCTCTGGAGGAGCTGATTGAGGAAGAGGCAAGTGGCATTTCTGTTTGTACTAAAATGCTCATGATAGCAATTTATCAAAATCATTCATAGACCAATGTAAATGTTTATTTCAATGCCGTTATTTAGGCTTTCCAACTATACACCTTTCAAGTTTCTTCATTTAATAATAATATATTAATAATAATATTATAGTATTATAATTTTATATAAATACATTTATCATAATTATACTTTATATAGTATATACTGAATTATTATATAATACTACAATATAATAACCCTAATTCTATATGGAAACAGCGGGCCAAACTTGCTTCTTCCAATCTTACCAAACTCACATTGGAAAGTTTTACTGCTTGGAAGAAAAGGAAGATAGCTGAGAAAAAGAGGAATTTTGAGGAAAAGATGACAAAGAAAAAGAATGACTTCAAGCAAGGAAAAGCTCTTGGGGTGAGAAAAAAATAATAACAAAAAGTTAAATATAATTAATAATGGAGATTTTTCTGAATGTGAACAGAGTTGCATTTTGGAGAGGGAAAGGAGGACACGTCTCAGTCACCATCTATGAGTGCCCGATGACAGGGAAAACGTGAATCCTGTGAGTCGCAAGAGATTGCGACATAGGGCAGATTCTTGTTTTAATGTTATGATTTCAATGTTTTTACTGTAATACACTATTGTTTATATGTTTTTTGGAAAAGGATAAAAGATATACATAAATAATCATTTTATTGTCTTTATGTAATGAGATTTAATATACTTGTAAACTTTTGGCATTAACAGTAATATATTATTTGAACTATATTAGCTTAGTGGAAGAGAGGTCTTTGAGTTCAAGCCAGAATTAGCTGATGCAGATGACGAGGGAGCAGATGATACCAAATATGAAAGGGAAGTAGAAGATGAGGAAGAAGTGGTAAGTCAAATATGTTTACATTAATGTCACTCTCTCATTGTTTGATCTGAATTAAATTAGCCAATGCTGAGAAGCAAATGATACTAAATAAACAGATAAATGTTTAAATGTTGATTTTTTTTTTAGTGAAAGCAGAGCATTCTTGGTGGTTAAGATGCTTGCCAGTGGCAAATTCTGGAACTCAGAATAGAGGGGTCTTGGGGAGGGAATTTTACACATGGATGGCTTAAACTAGCTCAGCTCCAGCATATTTTGGGTCTATGTCGGGAAATGGTTTTGGCTAATTGTACCTCATTCAGACTTGTAATTGAATTTGTTTTATGGGGAGTGGGGTTCATTATTGCACCATAGGCACATGGCGTATCAATTATGAGTTGCTTTGCTCCCATGTTTATAGTGGTGCTATCTGTTATTAATTTAATTAATTATATGACATTAATTATATGACACATGCATTTATAGGACACTGGTCCAGTAAAAGAAATCACATTAGAAGCAATGGGTAGCTTGGCAACAGAAGTAGACAACACTGGTACTATTTCAAGTGGTTCTCAACGTGAAGGACCAGTTAGTGCTACAATGGAAAATAGTTTACCTGGTGCAAGTCAAATGGAAGGTGTGTATTATATAAGAAGTATAATGATATTGATACACTACTGTACCAGGGATTGACCTCTCTAAATTAGGCAAGTTGAGAGATGAATGACGGCATAAAAGTGATCACAATCACGCGCCTAGAATCGACGTGTGTCCCATGCACACACATACATCATGCACTACAGTCATCAAATCCATAAAGACTTTTTTCCACTAGGTGAATTTATTCACACAATCTAAAGTGTCTGTTGGCTTCCTGAGCTCCGATTGGTTGCGCTTTTTTTTCGCTTCGCAAAAAGTAGAAACAGTTTCGAAGTACTGATAAAAACTCCAAAAAGTGAATGCACATGCGTGAATAAATTTGCTAGTGAAAAACAGCTTTATGCTGCTGTGTATAAGAACGTAAATAATATTTTTTTTTTAATAGTTTAAAATGCGATTGATTTAATTAGGATGTGACTTATGTTTCTACAGATGAATCGTCAAAGCTAGGAATGGCCGGAGCATTGCCTTCAGATGCAACTCAAGTTAATGGTGTACCAATTGATGAGGGAGTATTCGCTGGTGAAGATGTGCCCGTTGATGAAGATTTATTCACAAATGAACTTGACGATTTAGATGACGAATTAGATGGGATAGATTTGGACGATTGATGTGAAAGTACGGGATGGGTTGTGGCATTGGAATAAACATGTAAAGTGGAAAGTGACACATGTCGAAATGAGAAATTTTTTAATAAATATTTAAATATCATTTATTGATTGTAATACATCATGAATAAAGTGTTGTTGCTATTACATCCATCACTGTGCCCGTAATAAAGGGACAGATTTTCATAATTTGGCATTTACTTTAAATCTAATACAAAACACATAACGTGTTGCATGTCAACATAAATTTTGTTTGGCTAGTGCATATATTTGTCTATTAACCTGGTGGTCATGAGAGTAAATCATCAGTTCAGCAGGTGGTAACTATTTTATTGTGTGTTAACTTCTTGCTTGATGTATAAGTTACCAGAAAAATACTGAAATACTGCACTCAATGAAAAAAAAAATTGTCAAATATATTATATACACCCAAAAACCTGCTTTGTTATGTGTGAAGATAATTTTATTTCTTAGGAAAAGTATGAAATAAATACCCAAACGTCACAAAAAAATTACAAGGTGAAAGACTTCATTATGAAACTAATTGTGTGTTTATTAATCTTAGTCAAACATTCTGCGGTTTTTGTACAAATGCTTTGTTACCAAGCACCTTCACAACTATAAGCGAAAAAAAGTCTTGCCTCCAAATAATCAAACATTTTGCTATTACACCTTGAAACCCATTTTTGTCGAAACATGACTACTTATTAAAATTGCTATAAAAAATTAATTAAGCTATGCATACCATGGCTTAGCTGTGAAGGAACTCTTGACGTATAAACTAGTCAGTAACAAAGGAGCACTGTCTGCTGATATATTAAGTAGAAAATGAGAATGATAGACATTGAGTGAAAAACAAAATACAGTTAAGTACAAAGATACTACTATTCTATATTGAATCAATAACGATACTAAAAATCTCAGCCTGGTGTCAATAAATAGTACATTGCTTTTGTGCATTAAGAGTAAAAAAATATTGGTGTCCAAATAGGCTTGATGGTGTGGTAATGTGTATTAAAAATCCAGATGCTAGGTTTCTGTCAAAGTTCCGTATGTGGCGAGTGTTTTGCAGATTCAGATTCATTCACCTGTTGAAAGGGGAAAAAAGATATTAGGTAAAAGCTAGGATAATAACTCAAAACATGATTGCACAGAATTGCGTATGCCGATTTTGTGGATTGAATGAACAGGGGATAAATAATGTTGAAAGCATTTGGATGTATGGTAAAGTGTTATGGATATATATAAGATATATTTATCTACACATAGTAATATTCAATGTATTCAAAGTTTGATCAACATCCTAACATGATTCAATCAATTAATGTTGCCTACCCCTACTGGGCTCAATTTAAATTACCTCATGATTCTATTTAAGTAAATAAATATACAACTTACTTCTAATTTTGGGAAACGTTTTTCTAAATATGGAATAAGCCCTTCTGGTGAAATATCTTGTAAATGCTCCCCAAACCAATTCTGAAACAATAAAAAAAACACCACTTATATAAGTAAGAGTTTGTGGAAAAAACCTAGATTGAATAATTCAATGCAATAAATGTGCTTGTAACTTGCCTGGGAATTTCCTTTAACCTTCGAACCTGAATATAATCTCACTGTAGGGTAGGCTCCTATACTAGCTTTTCTGCACATCTTTTCATTCTGCTGGCATTCTATCTTCCCAACATTGACACGACCTTTCAAAGCACGAGCAATGCGTTCATAGTTGGGCATGTAGTGCATACAGGGCCCACACCATGATGCGTAAAAGTCCACCAACCAAGGCTCTTGACTACGTATCACTTTGTCTTTTATGTTTGAATTGTCCAAGACGACCACCATTGATGGCATAAAATTATATGCCCAGCCTAGCAGAGCGTTAGCATTTCTCATGAAGTTGTTATACTGTCTGCAAACCAAAATGATTAATAGTTACTATATATATATATATATATATATATATTATACACATAGAAGTTGGGATTAACAAATGTGGAGCTGCAGGCTGAGTTTCTCTCTTTGGTAGGCAATTCAAAATTTCCAATAATGGAGACATACTTTTATGTCTCTTCTGGATATCTGCCAAAATTTGTACAATGGCACATCATATATGCTTTTATGTTTATTGGAAGTGGACCATCTGTATAAGAGACATATAATACAGTGAATAAATGTCCTAGACTTTGTGTCTAGGAATGAATGAACTAACGTATTAAGATCCCTGCCTACCAAACTATCAGTAATGTTGCATGTAAATATCTGCTGCCCTCTAATGAGCATACCTTACTTATCCTCAAATTAGGAAGTTTTGTATTTGACATGAAAGAAATTTGTGTTTACCATGATGGATTTCGTATTCTCCGCCTTTTTTGAATAGTACTGCTTTGGGAAAATTTTGCCCTACAATGTACAATTTACTGCATAGAGCTACTTGTTTACCACAGTCAAAGCTGCCAACCTAGGAGCAAACAGTGCAAATATTATTCTTAAAGCATCACAGTTGTTTCATCAAAGCAGTAAAAATAACAATAAACATCAAAAGGGAACAAACAATTAAAACGGCCTATAGATGAAATGCTTGGTGGAAAACATTGATGAAGACATGCTCTGAATCTCATGTTCAAATCTACTGGGTTGCTACAAATAGAAAACCGTGTTTGTAATTATAATTTATTAATTCTTACTGTCATTCCTTTGAGGAAGAAAGGTAGTTTTTTCGGTTCTGGGTCGTCTGTATCCTGGCCTTTAGTAAAGTACACCAACATCTGTCTCTTATACACATCTAGATGTGTATAAGAGACAGTATATATATATACCATGAACCATGAAATACAGCCCAATTCAGAAATCCTAGCAAGCTTACCTCAATAAAATCAATAATGTCTTTAGCAGGACTAAATCCAACATGCATATGTGGCTCGCTAGAATTGAACATTATAGTCGTTGGGTACGATCGGACATTATTTTGTTGGCAAATAGCATGATGCACTGTACAGTCCACGGTGCCAAAGTTAATGTGCTGCATATCACGGGAAACCTTACGTAGTTCTGCCATTAACTGACGACATGGTGGGCATTGCTAAACAAAGAAGAAAAGACCAACAAAGTTTTTGAGCTGTAGCTTGGTGGTTAAGATGACTGCTTGCCAATTCTTAATCCTGTCACAATCATAAAGTTTCTCATTCAAAAATATTCTACTTCTGAAAACCATAATAATGGCAATTGAGTTTATAGAGAGTAATGTACACCACCGCCTTACTATCACTAGTAAAATGTTCATGCATAAATTTACAATTTATGCAATAATTTCCATATAGCTTATGGTTTACAACTATAATAATTGCTTATATTATTATTTTGATTCTCCCACTAAATTGGATTCATGTTTTGTTAGGAAAAAAGTATTCCAAAAAAAGTCTTAATTCCACTTACAGGTGAGAAGAAATCGACGAACCATGGCTCTCCGCTGTTAATCACTTTGTCAGGGAAGTGTTCTGGACCTAGCATATGCAATTTGGAATCCGCACTCTCGCGTGCAAATGCAGCCACATCATGAGCCGTCATTCGTCCTATGAACACAAAAGCCATCAAATACTACTCTAATATTTATATGCCTGAATAATACATTAAGCTAAAGAAAGCAAACATTAATATTGATCTGTATATATTTTTGCATAAGCCAGTTAATATTATATTGCCAATCAATTTCCATCTTGAATTTTTTCAGAACAATAACATTCAAAAGAACCAACTAAATTGACAATTACTTATTAAGCATTCAGAATTTTAGTTTAAAGAGAGTTTTACAAACTACGGTTAGGTATTTTATATTTGGAAATTGAGAGAGTGAGATGGTATTAAATTAAGGAGCAGGAGCGTTTTATTTAAATTATGTTTGAGGATGAATATCATAATATATTAGAATGTCAATTTTATGTAGAACTCAGAAAAGAATTTATTCCAGTATTTTATTTTACTGCTCTTTTGTAAATCTGATTCCCATACTTATAATTTAGTTAATTATACATACATATTTATCTTACCAGAAGTTGCCTTAGCAACGCATTAATTATGTTAAATTTTATTACTATGTACGGTGGGCTGGAGGCCATATAATACAGTGAATAAATGTCCTAGACTTTGTGTCTAGGAATGAATGAACTAACGTATTAAGATCCCTGCCTACCAAACTATCAGTAATGTTGCATGTAAATATCTGCTGCCCTCTAATGAGCATACCTTACTTATCCTCAAATTAGGAAGTTTTGTATTTGACATGAAAGAAATTTGTGTTTACCATGATGGATTTCGTATTCTCCGCCTTTTTTGAATAGTACTGCTTTGGGAAAATTTTGCCCTACAATGTACAATTTACTGCATAGAGCTACTTGTTTACCACAGTCAAAGCTGCCAACCTAGGAGCAAACAGTGCAAATATTATTCTTAAAGCATCACAGTTGTTTCATCAAAGCAGTAAAAATAACAATAAACATCAAAAGGGAACAAACAATTAAAACGGCCTATAGATGAAATGCTTGGTGGAAAACATTGATGAAGACATGCTCTGAATCTCATGTTCAAATCTACTGGGTTGCTACAAATAGAAAACCGTGTTTGTAATTATAATTTATTAATTCTTACTGTCATTCCTTTGAGGAAGAAAGGTAGTTTTTTCGGTTCTGGGTCGTCTGTATCCTGGCCTTTAGTAAAGTACACCAACATAGGTTCTACTAATTCAGAATTCTTCAATTTTTCTCTGCGAGCCTATCGGAAAAAAAAAGAAATAAAATGGTCCATATGGATCTATGCTTAATCTCTCAGGTATTTGACAGGCCTCTGTGATGTCAGTTTTTCTTACAGATATTGCATGTGCCAATCTTCATAGGTGTACATTCAAACATACGCAAAGTAGCAGGGGATGCTTGCTAAATGTTTGCTAGTAGTACGCAACCTGTGTAAAACTTCATCTTGTGTGAATCCGGTATAAAGCTGTCTACACTATCAAATTTTCTGTGACAAAAACTTTTCCATACATGGGCTTGAAAATGCCATGTCACACACCTATATGTGCAAATCAGTTATTTGTCACAAAACATGGTTGTGTGAACAGATCTTTTGGGAGGAAAAATGTGATTTGGGGGATTTGATACCAGCATTGCGGAATTGGAAGTCGAGCATCTTGGGGCCACCAAACCTCACCTGTAGGTCCTCAAAGGAGATGGAATCAATTCCTGGCAGCATGTTGAAGACCATTTTGGCAACTCGCTTTGGCTCATCTATTTCGAGTTCCTAGAAAACGATGTAAAATCATATCAATTAAATGTGGCTAATATTATGGCATTTATCTAAAGTGATATGTACCTAATAATTATTGATGAACTGGCATCTATCCACCCACAATCCATAATACTCATGCTTACACTATAGCCTCATAAACTACCTGAGCCTAACATTTTAGGGGTCCTAAGTCTACCAAAACCAACAGGAGTCTATCGGTAATCGTCGGAGACTTCTGCATACCCACAAGCAAGTAAAAATCTCCCGGAAATCAACCCACCTCTACAGTATGTATTATTGTTTCTGCAAAGTTAGCTTGTATGGGTATCACCCCTTCTGACTTACCGTTCCTTTAGCTTGGCCCACTTTTCTTCCCGTCTCATAGAACATGATTGTACTCTCTTCAATTTTCAATTTCAAACAGAGCTTGTTGGATGCTGTGCAATCAATAGTTGCAACATTCACAACTTTGTTCTGTAAATTATTTAAAAAAAAATTGTGATGAGTTCAGGCCCAACAATTACAGAAATAAAATATAAAGTCATATGTGAACTAAATGAAGATCACTTACTAAGATTGAAGACAATTTGAGCTGATCAACACTTTCAAAACAATTTGCAGTGGAAACGTCAGAACTATCCCTATCATCTCCTATAAACAATCAGTAATTTAAAAAAATACATAAGAATATGAAAAAAATGAATGCATAGACAGATACTGAATCAGCTAATTTGTCCAGAAATGAATTCTACAGAAAGATGCATATATTGAGTAAACATTATGTTCAGCACAATTTTAAATGTTACAAAACTGGTTAAAAAAACACTTACCATACGGTGAGCCACAGTAGTTTACAACCCATGGCCTGTCTTTATGAGCATCTGATAACAAAATATCCTTGAAATTCCCTACAAGAACAAGAAAAAAATCCATGATCAGTTTTCTTGTAAGAGTTTCCTACAGTATAACCACTAAATAAAAGAATCAAATATTAAGTGCTACAGAAGAATTTCAATGTAATTTTACAGATCATGCGCATCAAACATGTTAAGCAAGCATTAAAGATCAGAAAAAGCTTTAGAAAACTGACACAAATAAAGATATTTTTGACATGTAAAGTAAAACAACTTAATAACTCTATTAGAAAGATGTGTGAGAAGAGAAGTGGTAGAGAGTTAGTCTGACATGTGCAAATGAAGATATTTTTGAAATTTAAAGTAAAACAACTTGATTAAACTCTATTAGAAAGATGTTTGAGAACAGAAGTGGTAGAGAGGAAGTCCTTGCCAGAAAACAGATGCAATTAAAAAGGTGTAAATAAAAAGAATAATCAAATCTATTCTAGTAGGCAATCTAATCATAAATCGCATTGGTTTTATTCTTAGTTTAAGCCCCATTTACACTAGATACAATTACGACAAGACAACATATCATGACATAGTTTGTATTCTTTAACACTGCGCACATCTGTATCCTGTTGTTGTCGTAATCATGTCTATTGTAAATGGGGCTTTAAGATGATTAGCAATGCATGACTAACCTGCAAATAATGTATGCACAGTAGACTTAACCTGCCTCAGAGCGTGTTTGATAAGTGCTTCTAGCTTTCTCGAACCTGTGTACTCTTGATTCTGTGAAACAAAAATACAAAATACACAAAATATAAACACACAGTAATAACAGTACTATTGTCAATAATTATAAACAAAAATTAACTTTATTCTCATGCTTCATCTTTTTTGATACAATATTATAAAATAAGAAAACTAACAGTACTATTGTTAATAATTATAGACAAACATTTAATTTTTTCTTATGTTTCATCATTTTTGATACATAAAATAAGAAAATTTACAATAAAAAAATTTATTTTAATTTTATATTTAGAAAAAATTAATATTTAAATTCATATTAAATAATTAAACTTACCACTGGGTACATTTTGAGTGTTGGGAACTGGCGAATGCCTTGAGCTGTACATAATGGATTATCATCCCAACAGTTCACGGCTCCAATACGGACAACGCCCTCTAACTCCTTAGCAAACTCTCGCCACTGAAATAAGTTTTGAGTCAAAATCTTAATTTACAGTTTGATAATGAATAACCTAATTACCTCTTTTTAAAATTTTTATCTTTGATGTCAATCTTGGATTTGTTTGAGATATGAAAAATAAGTCAAATTATTAAAATGAAAAATAAATTTAAATATAAATTATATGAAAACTGATATGCAAGTACTGCACTCAGTAAAAAACCTATGTAACAAAGTCCAGGCCATGAGTCCAATGCCAGAAACCAGGCATCTTAACCATCAGGTTACAAGTCCACTTTAAACCTTCATACAGTATGTAAGTTTTATATAGCACATCATGGCAAAAAATCTCCCACAGTGAATTAAAAATCTTTAAATACCATACTTACTGTTGGCGCTAGATCATGACAATGATGACAACGAGGAGAATAGAAATTAACTATCCAAATATCCTGACCAAACACAGATTGTTCTGGCAAAGAAGAAAAGAAAATATAAAAGTTTATTTCACTCCTAATCCAAGGGCTAAAAAGAGTGCTGACCGCGCGACCAGCAGCTTAATGATTGTCCCGGAGGCATTTTGGGGGGGGGGGGGACTTCAAAAAAGCAAACTATTGTTCTATATAGTGTGCAGATAAACATTTAATGTTAGAGGCATCATACTTAGACAATTATAAAGGTCAGAGGCACAAACATTTTTAATCCAGGCCTGCACCAATCATATGTTTTCATTCCTAAATCACTTTAGCTAGTAAAGCACTATATAAACCACCTTCAGTCATGAAAAGTATAATTATACTTTCAGTCATGAATATTATATACATTCAATCATGAAGGGTTTTTTTTTTTTAAAAGCCAATATTACAAAATTAATCACAATTGTTAACAAATATTTAATTATTTTTCTCAAAATCAACATCACACTACAGATCAGAGAAAAACAAACCATAAAAATAGGAAACAGCAATAATTTATTACAAAACGAATGAAAAAAACATCAAACTTACCAAAATCAGTTTTACTAAGGGTGACAATTTCTGGATCTTCATCATAAAGTCCTAATTAAAGAGAATATATTATAATAATAATATTTTACAATATAAACTATTAATAATCAATAGTATAACAATGACAACATAAGAACAATAGTAACAAAATATATATACAGTATTATAACTGATACTAGAGTATATGTCACATAATACACCCCCACTACATATGATACACAGGTCTCCCCTCTAATTAAAGACCCCTCCAATTAAAAACCACCTCTATTTTTCTGTGAACAAGTTTCTTTGATCTTGCTATTATTTTAATTAGAGACCAATGCCGCTAAGGTCCATGGAAACCCTCTGGTCCCAAAAGATATCTTTAATTGAAGGTAGACCTGTATATAAATGATAGTATCAGATAGGTGTGGTTTTATAGCTATGTCTGAATGTCTAGTTATGGTTGCATCTACAGTACTGTAAAAATGCACAGTGGCTATATTCTTTGTTTTCATCACAAGCCATCTCGAGCACTTGATCTGAAGTATTAACATAAGTTAACTTCAAGGTTGACCAAAAACCTCATAATTTACATTTATTAAACCAATGATTAAGATAAATAAGCCAGATAGCATAATGCCCAATATTTATTAGTACATAGTATAAAATATTACTGTTCATTTTTAACTATTATATTACAAAAATACATATTTACTTATACATTGTTAATTATTGTTATTTCAAATATAAACACCATTTTATTTAGTTTGGAAATTACTGTACATACTTTTATATTTTAATATTTAAAAACTGTATGTTCTTTAATTGCCAACCTTCAATAATTGTATTATCTTTTCATTGTATTTACATATATATTTATTTAATATACAACATATATCTGTAAATTATAGTAACATATACTGTATCTATATATATATCTGTATATATATATATACAGTACCTGATGATGACCTATGGTCGAAAGTACTTGTACAATAAATATTTTATTTTTGAGACAGATACAGAACTTTGTTTGACTTCTTATTTTATATATACAAATCTGTCTATGCAGCAACTCTATATTTATTTGGATATATATATATACAGTATACATATATATATATATATATATATATATATATATATATATACAGTGTATATACATTATATATACATATAAAAAATATGTACTTCTTTCAATCATTCAAAACAATTGAACATACACTATATGCATAATACAGTATACAACATGTACATTATTATGTGTGTGTATATAAACAGTATATACACCTTTGAATGGGAAATGATAAATAATAAATAAAAGACTACATACCAAATTCTGTTTTGTAGAACTGCCAACTCTCATACTTCCTCCAGCCTTGGTTTTGTTCATTCAGTCCCTCCTCCCCAAACCGATCATATTTCTCTCTCAATTCCGAGTCTTTTAAAACTTCATAAGCTCTATTATACTTAACAAACTTTTCATGCGCTTCCGGATCATCCTGTTGCAATCAGATGAAAAAATGTATGTTACTGCCTGTGTCGAGCTATAAACCTGAACAATATAATATTGATTCATAATTTTATTTATTTCATGCGAAATGGTAACCAACAAAGGGAAATCTTCCCTGTACTGTACATGTGTTAACTACCACAGAAATCACTTAAACAACTGTTACTGTATGTTGAGGCAAAACGCATGGCAAAAACATTTAAAAATAACAATGATACTGATAGGCAATAATAGTCAGTGGCTATTGCTTCACCAGTTTTAAACCAATTCCAATTCTGATTGGATGGTATTATATGTATGGTTTGGATTAGGACAATAAAGAAACATTTTTTAAATTAACCTTACTTTTTATTTTTTTATTTTTTTTTTTATAAATGCACACTTTTCATCACACCAAATAGGCAGTGGCACTGTTACATTATTTCAAAACAAATTCCTATTAGGCCAAGTAAAAAGAAAAAAGTAGTTTTTCATCCTAATATTTTGAAAAAATGAGAATAAAGGCACTTTTTTTTACCCTGAGATGGCAAATCCAAGATGGTCGAAGGGAAACAGAACTACTTTCACACTTTTGCTATTAGTAGACACATTGAAAGCAAATAAAAGAAGCACTAGACATGATTCATACCATATGTATTCCCAACCACCAACAAATTGAAAGGAATTTTACTGATGTGAGTTAGCCAGATTTTTGTAAATTTTGTAAAATAAAGGGGAAAAAATAAATATTTAGTGAGGCAGAGAAAACGAGGAGACAAGAAACTAGTAATTTTTTTATTTGGCCTTAATTGTGATTTGATGTAATTTTATGTGTGGATTGGGTAAGAACAAGAACATTTTGTAAAAATAACTATTAGAGGAAGGCTTACCTTATTTTTGTCTGGATGATGTTTTAATGCAATTTTTTTAAATGCACGCCTAATGTCACGCTCACTGGCGTCACGCTCTACACCAAGTAATTTATAAAAGTCTTCTGCAACAACCAAGCTAAATAGTAGTAACAGTAGTAATAAATTAACAAAAATCAGTAAAGAGACACGGCTTGTTGTAGTCTTCGACTTCATTGCCCACCAGCCCATCATTTTGGATTCCAACTTGAGACTGTCTCAACCAAAACGTTTAACTCATTTGTTGTATCTGTAGTAAATAAATAATAGTGATAGTGAATGATCAGGTGTAATCTCCATTAAATATTATAACAGTTTACAGCAAGAAAACATAAAGATCTACTTACCACATGTTATAGGAATTAATTTGGTTTGTTGTATTGTCTACCTGGGGCGGATGCAAGAGGGTGCAGACGGTGTGATTACAACCCCATAAATTGTATTAAGAAAAATAATTGTGTATAGTTGTTTTTACCTGACTTACCTTTGATCTTGAAGCTAAAGCATTAATGCTTATTCGTCCCTCTGTCTGAGTCTCTTACAAACAGTTTAATTAAACTTCTGGTGGTGATTTATTTACTTCTGTCATTTAAATGACACCGGTATTCATTGGATTTTAAAAGTATGAGAATGCAATTTCCGGGCACCTAAAAAGGTCCACATTCGCATAATGTTCGCACCTCAATCCCAACCAAGGTGAGGCTGAGGCCAAATCCTGCATTCCACCAGTCTACCAACCAAGCCGGCTAGGCTGCTACTCCTACTAATACTACTAGGCTTAGGCCTAGTCTGGTTACTCCGTCCTACAACTCGGGCCTAACCAGTGTTTTGATTGACATTTGTCAAAAAAAATATAGGCCTGGGTCTAACTGGGCCTAGGAATTTACCTAATTTATAAGCTATGCGGTGACATATAATCTAAAAATAAACACACTCTAAATCTAAAAAGAAAGCAGTGGCTAATGTTTACCTTGTAATTCAGTTACTGTTTTTAAAGTCAAGTGAACTTAGATAAAGTTAAAAGCCGGACACTGCAATGAAAACTATGTACATGTGGCGTATTATTCTTAGCGAAATATGGCTTCCCACATTCTGCGCATGCGTATGGCTTAGCTCAGGTAAACACTGACGTGTCACATTAAGATGAATCTTGTAAACCCCTATTGTTACCAAACGCACCTTCCATTGTTAGCCCTAGTTGGTGTGTGGAATTTTGAAAAACCATACAATTTGTATTCACCATGGTTTATCCGCTGTTAACAGTGTATAGGCATTTCGCCAGACTAATCTTGCTTTCCATTTTTCTCATCAAAGTTTTTCAATCTATTAGCGTCCTTCAGAATTTCCTGACACAGAGCAACTTTCTTTTCTAGCTCGTTCATTCGTTTTGTTACAACTTTAATGAGTGTGCAGGACACATTATTATTACTTAATGCTTCAAACTGCTTATTTTCAATTCCATTGTTTGATCGATCCACTGATTCTCCCTTGTCTTCCATAGCCTCGTGAAGTTTATGCTGCACGGAGAGAGCGAGGAATGCAAATTACACACATGTCTGATATTCAAATGAGCCACACAAGTTGAACGTATTAGGTTTGTTGACGTGTAATTGCTGCAGTTCTGCCTTGCTCCTGGCCTGTTAAATCACAACAATTGCGCTTGGGCTATAATTAATTTGATTTATTGTAATTATAATTTAGTTTTTAATAATTACAATTAAATTGTATAGGTGTAATTTTGCCCTACCTGACGTGGAAATGTACCGAATACTCAGTACATTTG